GGGGGCTCCCTTGTCCCTGGCTGTGCAGAGGCCCCCGGCCCTGCCTGTGCAGCCTGCCTGTTCTCCCGCCGCCCATCCTGGTGTCCTCACACAAGCCTGGCCGTGGCCTGCAGGGCCCACGGGACAGGGCTGTGGGCCTGAGCCTCGCCCTGTCTTCCAGCCCCTGACCCGGCCAGTGAACTGAGCCGACACTGTCGTAGAATGAGAGTGGTGGCCGGGCCGGGCGGGACATGCCACTGGACCGGGCTGGCAAGGCAGGACCAAGCCGCCGGGGTCCTGGCACCACCTTGGGGCTCCCTGCCCTCTCCTTGCTTTCTAAAGCCAAAAGATGGTCCAGATTCATCCGTTCACTCCCTGTCCATCTGTCCGGAGAACTCAGACTTTGTTTAGATACAAAAAGTTGTCTAGGGGGAAAAACCAGCCCGGTGCCAGGGGCGCATACCCGTAACCCAAGCTCCTCAGGAGGCTGAGAGCCGAGGATCCCAGTTTAAAGCTACTCCAGGCAGCAAAGTCTATGAGACTTTTGCTCCAATTAACTTTAGAAAATGAAAAGCCCAGAAGTGGAACTGTGGCTCAAGGGCTAGAACGCTAGCCTTGAAGAGCTCAGCGACAGCATCCAGGCCTGAGTTCAAGCCCAGGACTGACAAACACAACAACACAAAACAAAAAAGCCCTGGTCTCACATGCCTATAATCCCAGCATTTGCAAGTCTGAGGTCACAGGATGAAAACTCAAAGCCAGCCTGGGTCACATAGTAAAGCCCCTCTGAAAAGAAAAATCAACAAAGATACAAGCAACAAAGAGAAAGAGTTGGAAGGAGGGAAGGAAGGAGAAAAAGAAGAAAGAAAGGAAAGGAGGAAAGAAGGAAGGAGGAAAGGAAGGAAAGAGGGAAGATTGAGGAAGGGAAAGAAGGAAGGAAGGAAGAAAACAAGAAGGAAGGAAATAAGGATGGAAGGAACTGGATTCCATGGTTCATACATGTAATCCCAGAGTCTGAGGAGGCTGAGGTCCAGAGGATCAGAGTTCAAAGTCAGCCATAGGCAGAACAAGAGGAGGAGGAAGAGAGGAGGAGAGGGCTGGAGAAGAAGAGGAGGAGGAGAGGCAGAAGAGGAGGAGAAGATGAGGAGGAGGAGGAGGAGGAGGAGGAAGAGGAGGAGGACGAGGAGGACGAGGAGGACGAGGAGGAGGACAAGGACGAGGAGGAGGGAAAAGGAGGAGGAGGAGGGAAGGAGGAGGAGGAGAGCAACACTCTGGGCACTAGTGGTTATCACTGCAGGCCACTAGTCCTCTCTAAGTAGGGACAGGGTTTCTGTCAGAGTGCATGGTTACCTTCCTTTGAAGACACCATGTTCACTTTTCCTGCTCTGGATTCTTTCCTGGATTCTTGCTTCCTCCGCCCTCCTTCTTGGTGAAATTGGTCCAGACATCCCTGGCCCTTTGCTCCTTGAAGGCCCACTGAGCCCCCAGCTTTGTGGGCTAAGTGTTGGTGTTAGCCAATCCTGAGAGACTACAAACCTGAGCCTGACCAATCCAGGTAAGGGGGTGGAGCCCGCTGCACCATGATAAAGGGCAGTTGCTCCCACCTGTGTGTGTGTGTGTGTGTGTGTGTGTGTGTGTGTGTGTGTGTGTGAGAGTGGGAGTGTGTAATGTGTGAGGGTGTGAGTGTGTGTGAGTGTGACTCTGGCTTCACACCCCACTAGCGTGAGCGTGGGCCTGTCTGTGTAGAAGCAAGCTGGCCTGGCCGCTGGCTGGCGACATCTACATCCTGAGATGTCTGTCCTTATGGACCGGAGGGAATGCACGCACCGGGGCTTCCCCGTGAGATGTGCCAATCCAAGTGTCCTTGTGCTCTTTGCCTGCACGCATTTGCGCTCTTCACATGCACGCTTCCTGTTGGAGTCTGCTAACCGTCCAGTCCAGCTCACTCGGATCAGAGCAACCCCTCCATCGCTGGCTCGTTTCCCCTCCTCCTCCCACTATCTAGCAGCTTCTGCTCCTTCTCCTCATCCTCCTCCCCTGCAGTGCACACTTGTCTGTGTAATGTGCATATGAAGGGAAGCATGACCTTCGTCCCTCTGACCCTAGCTTGTCTCCCTTAGCAGAAAGGTCTGCAGCTCTACCCAGTCACCTGCTGATGATGTCACTGCTTTGTGGCTGAAAACACTCCATAGTGAGTAGACACCGCCGTGGCTTTCATGAATTCATTGACTTTTCACTGAAGTCCTTTGTTCATTTGAGTCTTGTTTTCTTTTAGTCCATCTTGGGTCTTGAATTGTGGGCCTGGGCGCTGTTCCTGAGCTCTTCAGCTCAAGGCTAGCACTCTACCACCGGAGTCCCAGCACCATGTCTGGTTTTCCAGTGGTTGATTGGAGAGAAGAGTCCCGCAGTCTTTCCTGCCCAAGCTGGCTTTGAACTGTGATCCTCAGATGTCAGCCTCCTGAGTAGCTAGGATTGCAGGCATGAGCCACCGGTGCCTGGCTTCATATGAATCTTTTTCTAAACAATTTCTTGAAGTATATTTTTCTGCCTGTATTTTGTCTTTTGCTTAGTTTGTATCTTACATTTTTGTCCCCACACATTAATTAAGAAAAAGAGTTTGGCTGTGGAATCTGCATACACGCACACAGCACACCTCCACCAAATCCTCTCCCTTATCACTCCTACCCGTCCCTGCCTTCCCTTCTTACAGTATTTCTTGCCAGACCTGAGGCTTGAACTCAGGACTAGGTGCTTTCTCTGAGCTTTTTTTCCCTTTCTCTCAAGGCTAATGTTCAGCCACTTTAGCCACAGCTCTACTTCTAGCTTTCTTTCTGGTGATTAATTCCAGATAAGAGTTTAGGGGCTGGGAAGGTAGCTCAGTGTTAGAGTGCTTGCCTAGCACGCATGCAGCCCTGGGTTTGATTCCTGAGTACCATGTTAACAGAAGAGTGGGAAGTGGCACTGTGGCTCAAGTGGTGGAGAGCTAGCCTTGAACAAAAGAGATAACATCCAGGCCCTGAGTTCAAGCCCCAAGCCTGGCAAAACAAAGAGAGAGAGACTTTCAGAAACTTTCCTTCCCAGACTGGCTTTGAACCAGGACCCTCAGATCTCAGCCTCCTGAGTAACTAAATTACAGGCATGAGCCTTTTGTTTGCTTTGGACATTTCCTGCCAGCAAAATATCGTGTTTTCAGATGAATTGAAATAAGAATCAGTAGCACAGGTTAAGAGTCTTGAGAGAATGCCGGCCACAAGGGCAGGAGCAGGAGGGCACCGGGGGCCCCAAGGGCTGGACTCTGGACACAGCCCTGTGTCTCTCCCAGACAATTCTGCAGGTGGTGTGCAGATCGGGACAAGCCAGTGAGGACGATCATGGAGTCAGCCTCTCCTCCAGTGCCCGCCGGGCTTATGAGAGCATGCAAAGCCTCCTGCTGTGGGGACGTGGCAGTCTCCAGGCCACCATGTGGGTGTAGACGGGATCCCAGGTCCCACTTAGAAGGTCAGTGGATATAGACACATCGGCTACAAAGGCACCGTCCATTTACCCATCAACAAAGGAGAGGAGAGCAGTCAGTTGTGAAATGTTGGAAGGGAGATGTGTAAGGATGGGGAGGTGGGCAGGGGCTGGAGCAGAGGGAGCTGCCGGCCTGGCCTTCTGTGGGCCTGGCCCAGGGACAGGCCTGTCTCCTCAGACCAGTGGCTGCTGAGACCCAGGGCAGAGACAGAGAACGGTGGGAAGGAGGGGGCGGCGGCTTCCGAGGTCCCACACAGCAAGACCAAGGAAGCCACCCCAGCGCTGAGACAGCAGGCCACCGAACACTGTGGGACGGCTTTCCGTGTGCTGGCTTAGCATTTTCATTGCTTTGCAGCATTCATGAAGATGAAACAGGGTTTGAGTGCAAGGCTGCCCAGAGGAAGTCCTCACCCACCCTGAACCCCAAGACTATAACCCAGGACAGGCAGCTGTGCGTCAAGGCTCCGGCAGCACTGACAGCAGCAGAGGACTTGAGGTTTCCTCCAGACACGAGGCATGGGGAGGTCCCCTCCTGGCGTCTGGACCCAAACCTGCCCTCACTCTACCCGCGAAGTGGGAGAATGACTACACATCACGGTGTGAGGCTCAGTGACAAAGACCAGGCCATAGCAGCAGCTCTGCAAGGACCTGGCTGAGTGCCAGGCCTCAACCCTGAACTGGCAGCACACGGGGCCCAGCAGCTGGACGGGCAGCAGCCGGGCTCACAACAGCTGGACTGACAGCAGCAGGGCTCATAACAGATGGACTGACAGCAGCAGGGCTCATAACCGATGGACTGACAGCAGCAGGATTGGCAGCGGCAAGGCTTTGAAGAGCTGGACTCACAACAGCAGGGTTTACAACAGCAGGACTTGCAGCCCCCACAGGAGCCACAGCCCCCCTTGCAGCCCCCACAGGAGCCACAGCCCCCCTGCAGCCCCCGCAGGAGCCACAGCCCCCCTGCAGCCCCCGCAGGAGCCACAGCCCCCCTGCAGCCCCCACAGGAGCCACAGCCTCCCTTGCAGCCACCCCAGGAGCCACAGCCCCCTTGCAGCCCCCGCAGGAGCCACAGCCCCACTGCAGCCCCCACAGGAGCCACAGCCCCCCTGCAGCCCCCGCAGGAGCCACAGCCCCCCTTGCAGCCCCCACAGGAGCCACAGCCCCCCTGCAGCCCCCACAGGAGCCACAGCCCCCCTGCAGCCCCCACAGGAGCCACAGCCCCCCTGCAGCCCCCGCAGGAGCCACAGCCCCCCTTGCAGCCCCCGCAGGAGCCACAGCCCCCCTTGCAGCCCCCGCAGGAGCCACAGCTGGAGCAGGAGCAGGAGCAGGCTGGCACACAGCAGCTCATGGTTGTGGTGGTGGAGGGTGGAGGAGGTGAGAGGAGCAGGTGGAGAGAGAGGTGAGTGGTGTGGGGCCTCCTGGCCTGGCCTTTATGTGTGTGGCTTTCTGTAGGCGTGGTCACTGTGAGTGTGGCCTCTGTGGGCGTGGTCCCTTGTGGGTGTGGCTCCATGGGGTAAGACTGACTGTGGGTGTGGCCTCTGTGGGCATTGTTCTCCCATGGGTGTGGCCTCTGTGGGCGTGGTCTCCTGTGGGTGTGGCTATCTGTGGCCGTGTTCCCTTGTGGGTGTGGCTCTCTGTGGGCGTGGTCTCCCATGGGTGTGGCTCCATGGGGTAGGACTGACTGTGGGTGTGGCCTCTCGGGGCATGGCTTCCAGGGGCGTGGCTTCCCAGGGCCATTCTGCCTGATTTCTCCCATCTCCCCCCACATACAACTGTATTTCTATGTAAATTCCTCCCTGTGCCAGTTTAGCACTTTTGAATTCTTTTATTGTTACAAAGGTGGTGCACAGTGGGCTTACACAGGTCAGGTAATGCGTGCATTTCTGCTTGGACAGTCCTAGGTTTTCCCTCTCATCCCCACGCACAGGTTGTATAGTTCATTTTAAACAGAGTGTCTGCTGATTACAGTATTTTAAAACCACACTTTTATCCACATCATTAAAGAGACTACTGGGAGAAGAAATGTCATGTCCCACCCAGTGTCTACACCTGGTCACAGGCTCATTAATTTCACCTTTGTCCTCTTTCAGATCTGTAGGTACTGTTTTGTATACACATTTTATATGTTTATAAATAGCATTCATCACAGTGAATGTTAGTGTGTGTGTGTGTGTGTGTGTGTGTGTGTGTACACTGGCACCACCTACAGGCTGGCACTGGGGAATGAAATCGGGGATTGGACGCTGTCCCTGAACATCTTTGCTCAATGCTGCTAGCACCCTAGGAGCCTCACAACTTTCCTTCCTGGGCTGGTTTTGAACTGTGAGCCTCAGATCTCAGTCTCCTGAGTAGCTAAGATGACAGGTGTGAGCCACCAGCAACCAGCAATGTAGTTTTGAAATCTTCATGCCCTGCAAAGGTGGAAAGGGGTATCTCCTGAATTTCTTTCATTATTACTGTGGGTGTGGTTTGACTCTCAGGCAACTTACATGTCCTTTGACTTGTATTGTATATACGGAGAAAACGAATTCCTTACCTCAGGGTGTCTTGTCTCCTATAGATGTGTATGTGTGGCCTCCATTTATGACACACTTTACGTTTCAAATTACATTTATTTCTGCATTGCTGGGGATGGAACCCGAAGGGCCTTGCATGTGGTAGGAAAATGCCCATGGACCCCAGTTTAGGCCAATGAGCCTCATCCCTAGTCACTGAGCCACGCCCCCAGTCATGAGCCACGCCCCCAGCCAGTGAGCTAAGCCATCAGTGAGCCACGCCCCCAGTCACTAAGCCACGCCTCCAGTCACTGAGCCAAGCCCCCAGTCACTAAGCCACCATGGCCTAGGCACTGAGCCACGCCCCAAGTCATGAGCCACGCCCCCACTCACTGAGCCACGCCCCCAGCCGGTGAACAGTGAACCTCTGCCCCAGTAACAGCCACACCCCCACTCACTGAGCCACGCCCCCAGTCAGTAAACCACGACCCCAGTCACTGGGCTTTGTCTCTTTGCACTTAATCCAAAATGTCACATCACAAACCATAACTATGTAATTCTTACTGGTCACTGAAAACACATCATGTGAAGAAACCTATTAAATAATGAAAAGAGGAGGCTCACACCTGTAATCCTGCTCTTCAGGAGGCACAGATATGATGATTGAGGTTCAAAGCCAGCTCAGGCAGGAAGGTCCCTGAGACTTTTATCTACAATGAACCACCAGAAAATTGGAAGTGGTGCTGTGCCTCAAGTGGTAGAGCGCTGGCTTTGAGCTGAAGAGCTGAGGGACAGCACCCAGGCCCAGAGTTCAGGCCCCAGGAATGCAAAAAACAAACAAAAACAAAAAATTAATAGAAGGTGAACTAAATAGCATGAAATAAATTCCAAGCGACTCCATCTCTAAAACAACCAACAAAAAGCAGAATGGAAGAAGCAGGCATTCCAGTCCCAGGAGCTTCTGCCCAGGCCCTGAGGTCAAACCTAGGTGCCTGCAAATAATAAACAAATAAATGAATGAATACAAGCAAAGGAAATGTCAGGCCTCTCTCCAAACCCAGGAGAACACAATACCACCTTGCCCACAACCACCGCTGTCTTCCCCACCGTCGGCCCCAGCCTCCTGTCCCTCAATGCTCCTCCCCTCCCCCAGCTTGCATACCCAGGCTGGCCCTTGTCTGCTGGAGGCACCTTCTCCTCTCCTCCACCGCGGCCCCTCCGCGCCACCTCCACCATCTTGGACACAGTGAGCCGCACTCCATGTCTACATAGGAGCATCTCCATCATCTTCCTGCGGCTGCCGCAGCACCAGATCCCCAGCCAGTGTCGGGCCAGGGCCTCCAGGGCTGGCACTGCGTCCTGCAAGGGCTACAGCCGGATTCAACCCCGGCACTGCCCAAATCCATGCAATCATATGGAGCAGTGAGAAATCTTCGGTCCCAGCTCCGTGTGGGGCGCTCAGTGTCCCGTGTGCCCCGTGGAGCCCACGCTGCCTCCACCGCCCTCACAGGGGTCCGGGCAGCGCGTGCGCCCAGCCTCCAACCCCAGCTCCATCATGTCTTCAGAGAAGCACCTTGCACACCAGCAGAGAGTCATGGCCAGGCACACTGGGACCTCAGATCGCGAGCCTCAATACTCCTCATGTAACCAAGCCCCAAATCAGACATCAAAAGAAAGAACTGAAGACCCAAATCCGCCGATGGAAAGCAGCCAGGACTGGAGCGTCCCCTGTCAGTGTCGGGGTCAGCGTGAGGCAGGTGGGCAGTGTGCAGGGTCATGAGGTCGCGCGGGCTGAGCCAGGGGGACAGGGAGCTCCAAGACGCCTGACCAGATCACAGGGTCAGCAGAGAGCCAGAAGAGCAAAACAGACCGCAGGCAGCCACCGCAGGCAGCCGCCAGGAAACAGCTCCACACAGGAGGAAGTGTCCGCATGCCAGAACCAGGAAGAGACCGTGTGCCAGGACCAGGAAGAGACCGTGTGCCAGGACCAGGAAGAGACCGTGTGCCAGGACCAGGAAGAGACCGCATGGCAGGACCAGGAAGTGACCTCGTGCCCAGCCCACACCTGACCCACAGGGACATAAAGGCCAGGCCAGGAGGCCCCACACCACTCACCTCTCTCTCCACCTGCTCCTCTCACCTCCTCCACCCTCCACCACCACAACCATGAGCTGCTGTGTGCCAGCCTGCTCCTGCTCCTGCTCCAGCTGTGGCTCCTGCGGGGGCTGCAAAGGGGGCTGTGGCTCCTGCGGGGGCTGCAAGGGAGGCTGTGGCTCCTGTGGGGGCTGCAAGGGAGGCTGTGGCTCCTGTGGGGGCTGCAAATCCAGCTGTTGCAAGCCCTGCTGCTGTCAGTCCAGCTGTTGCAAGCCCTGCTGCTGTGAGTCCAGCTGTTGCAAGCCCTGCTGCTGTGAGTCCAGCTGTTGCAAACCCTGCAGCTGTCAGTCCAGCTGTTGCAAACCCTGCTGCTGTGAGTCCTGCTGTTGCAAACCCTGCTGCTGTGAGTCCAGCTGTTGCAAGCCCTGCTGCCAGTCCAGCTGTTGTAAACCCTGCTGCCAGTCCAGCTGTTGCAAGCCCTGCTGCCAGTCCAGCTGTTGTAAACCCTGCTGCCAGTCCAGCTGTTGCAAACCCTGCTGCTGTGAGTCCAGCTGTTGCAAGCCCTGCTGCTGTGAGTCCAGCTGTTGCAAGCCCTGCTGCCAGTCCAGCTGTTGTAAACCCTGCTGCTGCCAGTCCAGCTGTTACAAACCTTGCTGCTGTCAATCCAGCTGTTGCAAGCCTTGCTGCTGCCAGTCCAGCTGTTGCAAACCCTGCTGCTGCGAGTCCAGCTGTTGCAAGCCCTGCTGCTGTGAGTCCAGCTGTTGCAAACCCTGCTGCTGCCAGTCCAGCTGTTGCAAACCCTGCTGCTGCAAGTCCAGCTGTTGCAAACCCTGCTGCTGTCAGTCTAGCTGTTGCAAGCCTTGTTGCTGTCAGTCCAGCTGTTCCAAGCCTTGCTGTTGCCAGTCCAGCTGTTGCAAACCCTGCTGCTGTGAGTCCAGCTGTTGCAAGCCCTGCTGCCAGTCCAGCTGTTGTAAACCCTGCTGCCAGTCCAGCTGTTGCAAGCCCTGTTGCTGTCAGTCCAGCTGTTGCAAGCCTTGCTGTTGCCAGTCCAGCTGTTGCAAACCCTGCTGCTGTGAATCCAGCTGTTGCAAGCCCTGCTGCTGTCAGTCCAGCTGTTGCAAACCCTGCTGCTGTGAATCCAGCTGTTGCAAACCCTGCTGCTGTGAGTCCAGCTGTTGCAAACCCTGCTGCTGTGAGTCCTGCTGTTGCAAACCCTGCTGCTGTGAGTCCTGCTGTTGCTAACCCTGCTGTGCCCCCGTGTGTTGCCAGTTCAAAGTCTGAAATGACAGAGTCGAGTCTCTAGGTAAGTCACCCCGGACTGTTCCCTGGAAAGGTCCCTGGCCCACCGTTCCTGGCGTATTTCTGCCTGCAGCTCTCTCTCCTGCTCTCCCTCACCAGCCTGTGGACAGCACTGGTGCCCGTGGGCCTGGCTCTTCTTGGCCTTGCCATGCTCTTCTCAGAAGAGCCGCATATTCTAACCACAGCTCTCCGGAGACCCATGCCCTCTGGCCTTTCTGGCTCTTTCCCACCCACCGGGAGCCAGTCCTCAGCAGGGCTGGGCCGGGCCTGAGGTAGCAAGTGTAGAAAAGCTCAGCCCTCATCCCAGCTTCTCTGCAAAACCCCAGAGCGCCTGACCCACCCTGCCTTCCTGCGGGTCTGCGACGTCTGTCCAAAGCAATATTTCCTTTCAATAAAATCGTTTTCTGACACTGCAAACACAACCTTGCTTCTGTGCTACCAACTTGGTTCTGCGTCAGAATGGTGAGCAAATTCGCTGTCAATGAGGCAGCCTGGACGGGACAGTGAGGGGACATGCAGTGGTCAGTCTGGGGGAGGGGCATGCAAGTCAGCCTGGGGGAGGGACATGCAGGGTCAGCCTGGGGAGGGGCATGCAGGGTCAGCCTGGGGAGGGGCATGCAGGGTCAGCCTGGGGGAGGGGCATGCAGGGTCAGCCTGGGGAGGGACATGCAGTGGTCAGCCTGGGGGAGGGGCATGCATGTCAGCCTGGGAGAGGGGCATGCAGGGTCAGCCTGGGGGAGGGGCATGCAGGGTCAGCCTGGGGGAGGGGCATGCAGGGTCATCCTGGGGGAGGGGCATGCAAGTCAGCCTGGGGGAGGGGCATGCAGGGTCAGCCTGGGGGAGGGACATGCAGGGTCAGCCTGGGGGAGGGGCATGCAGTGGTCAGCCTGTGGTAGGGGCATGCAGGGTCAGCCTGGGGGAGGGGCATGCAGGGTCAGCCTGGGGGGAGGGGCATGCAGGGTCAGCCTGGGGGAGGGACATGCAGGGGTCAGACAGGGTGAGGGGCTTGCAGGGTCAGCCTGGGGGAGGGGCATGCAGGGTCAGCCTGGGGGAGGGGCATGCAGGGTCAGCCTGGGGGAGGGACATGCAGAGGTCAGACAGGGTGAGGGGCATGCAGTGGTCAGCCTGGGGGAGGGGCATGCAGGGTCAGCCTGGGGGAGGGGCATGCAGGGCCAGCCTGGGGGAGGGACATGCAGGGGTCAGACAGGGTGAGGGGCATGCAGTGGTCAGCCTGGGGGAGGGACATGCAGGGTCAGCCTGGGGAGGGGCATGCAGTGGTCAGCCTGGGGGAGGGGCATGCAGTGGTCAGCCTGGGAGAGGGGCATGCAGGTCAGCCTGGGGGAGGGGCATGCAGGGTCAGCCTGGGGGAGGGGCATGCAGTGGTCAGCCTGGGGTAGAGGCATGCAGGGTCAGCCTGGGGGAGGGGCGTGCAGGTCAGCCTCGGGTTGAGGGCAGCTCTTGACGGGGACCTGCAGGCCCGGCCAGCCTGCTCACCTCAGCCCCCCAGCTGCCTCCAGGCGAGGCGTCTTCTGCCCAAGTTGGGGCAAAGGAGCAGGGCCAACCCAGCCGAGAGGGCACAGCACCCTGGGCTCACATCAGCGCCTGGGGTCCCGTCCTGTGACTGGGCTGTGCGGTGGGCTGCGTCGAGCACCCCTCCGCCTGCTGGCCGTTCTCACAGGCTAGCAAGCGCCCTGACCCTCACACAGGAGGCCCCATGTCCTCGCGCCCCACCACTCTGCAGTCAGGACTGTGGACCAGCAGAGACGACGAGGAAGGTGGCCGCCGCCCCGTCTCTCACCGCCCCAGGCCTGATTAGAAGTTGAGTGCCCCTTGCATGATAGAGTAGCCGTCCTCTGAACTTTCACCTCGTCTGAATTCTTGCTGGGATGCCAAGTGGAGTATTAAAAGTACACATTTTCTCATAGAGCCTTCCCCCAATTTTGGTTGCCTTGGGGTGACATCCTGGACAAAATGTCTTGCTTTCTTCTCAGCAGGATGTTTCTGGAAGTCTCTACCCTGGTGCTGTCAACCGAGCACGTGGGCCAGGCTGCCCGCCGACCCTGCTCCTGCTCTGTGCCGGCCCTGCTCAGCACGGGCTCAGCTCCCACAGCTTCTCCTTGGGTCCTTGGTGCCTCGGCCCACTGGGCCTCGTGCCGCAGGAGACACGGGTCTCAGGCGCGAGCTGAGCCAGTCCCGGAAGGCAGTGTCTGCACAGACCCTGCGGCTGCAGCCTGAGCCCCTCTGGGTCCAGTCCCAGGTTGTGACCCATGGCTGAGACAAAGCCCTTGAGACAATGGGATCACCAAGAAGAAAGGTTCAGTCCGTCCCCGGAGCAGAGGACCCGCAGCTTTGAGCTCATGCAGAAGCAGTAGTGCAAAACTGCACAGCCCCTTTACCCTCACACCCACACCCCAGAGGCCCAGGGCCTCCCGCTCAGTCCTGCCTTCCGCAGCTCCCAGCCCCTTCCAGTGGCCTGTGCTCAGAATCAAGATTTACAGTGTGGGGGTGGGGGGGGCCTGGCCCTAGAGCAGGGGACAAATGAGAAGCCTCCCACTCATGATGGTAGACAACTATGATAAACCAGTCACACACACACACACACACACACACACCATAAACCGGAAGTGAATAAGGAATGGTGGTGAGCTCATGAAGGAAACAGACGGGGCCACAGGAAAGGGGTGACCACATCCACAGGGGAAGGGAGACACCTGGAGGGGAGGATCGCCACCCAGGGCCCGGGCAGTCCCAGCGGAGTCGGCCCTGCCAGGGTCAGGCAGAGGGCGTCCGATGCCAAGAGGGAGAGAGGGAGCTGGGGTCACAGGTGCTCCTGGTGACAATTTGGGGAGCTGAAGCCATCCTCGAGTTTGTGGGTGACACCAAAACCTGAAGACTGAACTAATGAGGTGGAGAGCTGCAGAGCTGGGTGTGGGGAGAAGAGGTCGGGAGGGTTAGTGTTTGTCCCCAGGGAGAGCGGCAGCCACGGCCTGTCGCTGCCCTTCGGGCTGGCTGTCATTGTGGACAGCAACTCCAAAACAACTTGATGGCCACGGCGTGCATGCAGCCGCGGGTGTGAGGCTCTGTGTCCTGCGGTTCTGTCACACATCGCTGGGGCCCCAGAGGCCCTCGAGGACTGAGCCCCGTGCGGCGCCCTCCTGCACAGCCCTGCCCCCCTGCGGCCTTCGCCTCTCCTCCCAAGTCAGTGAGGCTCAGATCCGGCTCAGATCTAATCTGCTCACATGACGGCTGTGGGGCTGGTGACAGCCACTGTCCTGGGATGCAAATGTGACCTCTGCCCCCGTCAGTACTCAGGAGTATCCCCCCTTTAATATGGGGCACTCAGCAACCCACCAAGGCCCACCTGGCCTTAATATGGTGGAGGCCGGATCTACAGTCTTCTGGTCACTTACCCAGGAATAGGAACGAACTAGCCGCTGTTGGATGGGTAGGAGGCAGAGTGCTGTCAGAGAAATTAACCTTGCTGATCCTCCGGCGACGGTATTGTGGGCTGTGAGCTAGGTCCTGGGGCAACCGGTCAGACCCCCGCCTGAAGTGGAGGGGGGAGCAAATCCACTGGGGAACCTATCCTGAGTTTTGGCACCAAATGAAAGGATCCTCCAGGGCCCTTCAGAGGACCACACAGAGGCAGGCAGGCAGCACAGGAGAAACAGTATTGTGAGGTTTATTAGAGGGGCCTTATCTCCCCTGGGGAGGAGGCGCATGGCTTCTGCCCCGACTCCTCCCCGGGGGAGTGGGGGTAGAAGTGAGGTAAAATGGGTGCGGGAGCTGGTCTGGGCAGAGAGGGGGAGCGGCCAGCTGAGGGCGGGAACTCCAGGGCAGGGAGGAGCACAGGTCTGGGTGGAGGTGAGGACCAAAGGTGCGATCATGCTAACAGTGATGACTGACCGTGGGCAGGCGGACAGCACCCGACGCCTGCACAGATGCATTGTCTTCCCCTAGGGAAAGAAGATCTCAGATCAATAACTCAGCTTTCCACCTTCAGAAGCTGGGAGGAGAGAAAAACTAAACCCAAAGCAAGTAGAAGGAAAACAGAAAAACAAAAAGCCAGAGCCACACAAGTGTAAGTGAAACAAAAACTAAAAGTAGACTAGTGAATTTTTAAATTATTATTATTATTATTTTGTTGGTCATGGGGCTTGAACTCTGGGCCTGGCCACCGTCCCTCAGCTCTTCAGCTCAAGGCGAGTGCTCTACCACTTGAGCCACAGCACCACTTCTGGTTCTCTGGTGGCTTATTGGAGATAAGAGTCTCCGACTTTCCTGCCCGGGCTGGCTTTGAACTGTGATCCTCAGATCTCAGCCTCCTGAGTAGCTAGGATTCCCGGTGTGAGTTACCAGCACCTAGCCAGACTAGTGAAAATTAATAAGACCAAATCTGAATATTCTTGAAAATGCCAGCAAAATTGACAATTCTTTAGCCACGCTGGCCAGGAGAGAAGACTCAAATTCCTAAAATCAGTGCCAGTATTTCACACCTGTAATCCCAGCTACTATCAAGGTTCAAAGTCGGCCTGGGCAGGAAAGTCTGGAAGACTCTTATGTCTAATTAACTGGCAAAAAAAGTTGGATGTGGAGATGTGGCTGGAGTGGTAGGTACCAGTCCTGAGCAAAAAAGCTAAGGGTTAGCATACAGGCGCTGAATTCAAGCCCTACTATCCCCCCCCCCCCTCACACACACAGAGAATGCAACAAACTTACTCCCAACTTTACAAACATTAAAAAACTTCTCAAGGAGTCAGGTGAAAACTAGTTATAATGGAATCTAAGCAACTTTCAGATCACAAATGAGGTATCTTTGATGACATGGAAGAATTCCTAGCAGGGCACTAGTTCTCACAATTGACTCAAGAGGAAATGGAACACACACATGCATGCACGTGCACACGCGCACACACACGTAGGAGAGACGCGGTTCCACGCAA